TGCGTAGGGGCTCTGGGTGCTCAGCAGGACTTGATCCCAGAGGCCTCCTTGGCCTGCGGCCCGGGTGGATTTGATGCTGGCACAGGCCCATGAGGATGAGCCATCCAGGGGGCTCAGGCCCTGGGGATCCGGCCTATGGGCCTGGGGCCGCCTGCCCAGGCCTGCTGGTGTCTCAGCGGGTGGCTGCGGGCCGTGAGGTAGGGATTGTCCTCTGACAGATCAGCTTTGCCGCTAACTTCCTGTTCTCATTAATAACCCGATACGAGGAATTCTATTGCGATTGTTTAGGTGTCTCTTACAAGACTGTGAGCAACGCGGTAACCCCAGCTCCTGGCCTGATGCCTGGCACGCAGTAGGTGTTTAATAAATGCATCTTCAGTGCGTAAATAAAAGAAAACGAGGGTGGCATTAGCACGGTCAGGACCTTTGCAGTCGCCTTCTGACGCACCTCCTTGCTTCCGCGTAGTCTCCAGGCCGCGGTTGGCGTGAGACCGCATGGAAATCACTCTCTTCCTACTCTGGCCAGGGTGCAGCCCCAGGCCGGTGCTTCCAGGGAGCCCTGGATGCCGTGGTGAGCGTGTGGGCTCGGAAGCTGGGCCCTTACCCCTGCGGGTGGTGGCCCCTGTTGGAGGAGTGGTGGAGCATCCAGCCCCCTCCCCTGATTTTCCATCATGACCGGTGGTGACAACGTTGGGTCTCAGTGGGTCTCTCCTGCCTCCTAGTCCAGTGCCCTTTTGTGGGGTCCATTACTGGCTTTTGGGGCCCCTGAAGGGCCTGGTTACGCTGTTAGGCTGGGATGGAACGCACCATGAGGAGGGGCTGGATGTGGGGACATGGCAATGAGTCTCCCCAGCAGGCAGACGCCGGAGGCAGTGGCGACCACACCTGCTGTCTGGGAGGGTTCCAGGTGGGACCCCTGGCATGGGGCTGGAGTGGGCTCTTCATTGTCCTATCCCTGGGACAAGCGTGTGGGAGACAGCAGGGGCCACCAGGAGCCACAGGAGACAGGCCAGGCTCATCAGGTAGCTCTGGGACTGGCTGGGCCCCAGGAGGGCTGTGTCTTTTATGGCTATGAGGTTAGGAGACAGACAAGGACCAAGGGTGGTGATTCCTTCCCAAAGGGCCGCAGACACCCAGGGAGGCCGAGCAGGGAGGAGCTGAGCAAGCAGCCTCCCTCCTGTCTCCCTCTCTCCGCCATCAGCCTCAGCTGCTGTTGCCCAAGGCAGTCACCTCTGCAGGGGCTGGGGCTTGTGAGGCAATGCTCCCCCCACAACCCCAACACCTGGCGGTTGCTCTCTGATTGCTGGGACCTGCCTGACCTTCACTGCAGCAGGGTTTTATGAGCGGCCTCACCACTTTATCAATTGCTGTTGCCTTTTATTACTTCTCAGGGGTTTTATCTCAGCGGCTGCCTTGCTGCCCGGCTAAATGAGGATTAATTTTTTAACAGGATTATGTGCTGTGGGTTAGCTGTACTCTCCGGGGACAGCCAGGCACTCCCCTCCCTCGCAGACCCTCCCTTCCCAGCCTCCCTCACTGCTTTGCTGGGAGCAGGGGCTCCATGTGGGGGCCCCAGGAGCCGGGGGCTGCATCAGTCCTGACTGGGATGGGGGTGGCGAGGGCTGGACCTGGACTCTGGGTGGCAGAGGCTTCTTCCTTGGGTGGGGCCTGCCCTGCCCTGCAGGGTGAAGTTCCTTTAGAGGTTGCAGCCACTGCTTGAAGGACATTAGGCTTGGCCACGGAGGCACTGGGTGGGGGGGCAGGTGGAGCAGGAGCCGGGGGATGTGGGAGAGAGGATGGGCCACCTGCCCCGTTGCTCAGAGCTGTACAGCCTCCACATGACCACGTCGGACTTTCTTGTCCTTCTCCTGGAGCACACTTTCAATTTCCACCAAGTTGGATAAAGCTGAGCCTGTTCTCACTCCTCCTGTGTCTGTCACCTGGAGGACAAAACCCAGGATCTCACCTCAGCTCCCCGTGACACCGTCTCCTTCACAAACCAGAGGGAAGCCTCCTTCTCCTTCTTTGCCCATCAGGAAAGCCTCTGCATCCATCCAGGGTAGGCCTCCAGACACCAGTCTGGGGGGCTTCTCCCTGTAGCCCCAGGCAGAGCTGGGGCCCTTCTGGGCTTCCCATGTGATCCTTCTGTTGGGCCTCCTGTCCCCTCTGGAGTCATGAATTTGTGGATGTGCTTACCCACCCGCTGTGAGCCCCTGAAAGGGACACAGTGATACTGCATTCATATCTAGGCACGGGGCAGGTGCCAGGCCTGTTTACAGAAGGAGCAATGAATGAATGAATGAATGAATGAAGGGATGTATGCATGAGGGAGGAAGGGAGGGGGTCATCGGCTCCCTGAAGGGGCCTGGGCTAACTGGTCACTGCCCCCTCTTCTCCTGGCTGAGCCCAGGGCGGGCTCACAGCTGTAGGCCTGGGATGTTTGGGCCGCAGCCTTGTGGGCAGCTGGGTTGATGGGGTGAGATCCTGGCCAGAGGGGAAACTGCCCCTGCTCGGGCCTGGCTTCTCCTCTGGAGTTCTTGCTGTGCAGGTGTGTGCAGACCTGGCTTAGCTGATGTAACGAATGACCTCAGGAGCAGCTCCAAGCAGCAGTCATGCATTCTGGTGGCCTGGATGTCCTTGGCTTGTGGCTACATCCCTCCCACTCAGCCACCATCCTCACGAGGCCTTCTCTGTGTCTGTCCCTGTGCGACTCCTATAAGGACACTAGCCCTTGGATGTAGGGTCTGCCCAAATAACCCAGAACGACCTCATCTCCACATCCTTCTCTTAATTCCATCTGCAAAGGCCCTCTGTCCAAAAAAGGCCATATTCACACATTCTGGGAATTAGGATAGGGGCATATCCTTTTGGGGGACCACCCTTCAACCTGTAAAATACCCGTATGCTTGACGAACTACCTTCCTGCTCTCTGGAAGCCTCTATGCTCACACCTAGAATTTCCCGGTGTGAGTCTATGCCCCTCTGTGGCCGTCCTGTGTCCTGTGTTTTTTTACGTTTATTTTTTGAGACAGGATCTCACTCTGTCACCCAGGCTGGAGTACAGTGGCGAGATCATGGCTCACTGTGTAGCCTCGGCCTCCTGGGCTCAAGCCATCCTCCTGCCTCAAATTCCTGAGTAGCTCAGACCACAGGTGCGCACCAGCATGCCCAGCTAATTTTTAAAATGTATTTGTAGAGACAGGGTCTTCCTGCGTCGCTCAGGCTGATCTTATACTTCTAGGTTCAAGTGATCCTCCTGCCTCGGCCTCTCAAAATGCTGGGATTACAGGCAAGCCTGGCGTGTCCTGTTTATGGGTTCCTGTGTACCCCTCCTCGGTACATGCCCAAGAGAACTGGCAGCAGGGTCTCAAAGAGATGCTTGCACACAGGTGTTCACGGCAGCTTATTCACAAAAGCAAAAATGTGGAAACAGGCCGGGTGCAGTGGCTCAATCCTGTAATCCCAGCACTTTGGGAGGCAAAGGCGGACGGATCACCTAAGGTCAGGAGTTTGAGACCAGCCTTACCAATATGGTGAAACCCCCTCTTTACTAAAAATGCGAAAATTAGCCAGGAGTGGTGGCAGGTGCCTGTAATCCCAGCTACTAGGGAGGCTGAGGTGGGAGAATCGTTTGAACCCGGGAGGCAGAGGTTGCAGCGAGCCAAGATTGTGCCACTGCACACCAGCCTGGGTGACAGAGGGAGACTCTGTCTCAAAAAAATATATATCTATATATCTATATAGATATATAGATAAAGACAACCCAAGTATCTACCCCTGGGTGAAGGGTAAACAAAACATGGTCCATCCATACAATGGAATATTATTCAGCCTCGAAAAGGAAGGACATTCTCACACAGGCTTTAACATGGATGAACCTTGGGGACATTACGCTGAGTGAAACACGCCAATCACACAAAAACACATAGAGTGTGATTTTATGTATGTGTGGTCCCTAGAGGAGTCAGGTTCACAGAAACACAGAGTGGAATGGAGGCTGCCGGGGGCTACAGGCGGGGAAGTGGGAGGTTATTGTTTGATGGGATGGAATTTCAGTTTCATAAGACGAAAATAATTCTGGAGACGGATGGTGGTGATGACTGAAACACAATGTGAAGGTACATTTTATGTTACATGTGTATTTACCATAATTAACAATTAAAAAATAGGCCAGGTGCAGTGGCTCACACCTGTAATCCTAGCACTTTGGGAGGCCGAGGCGGAGGGATCACTTGAGGTGAGGAGTTCCAGACCAGCCTGGCCTTCATGGTGAAACCCCATCCTACTAAAAATACAAAAATTGGCTGGGCATGGTAGTGGGCACCTGTGATCTCAGCTACTTGGGAGGCTGAGGCAGGAGAATCGCTTGAGCCCAGGAGGCGGAGGTTGTGGTGAGCCGAGCTCGTGCCACTGCACTCCAGCCTGGGTGACAGAGTGAGACTCTGTCTCAGAAAAACAAAACAAAACAATTAAAAAAAAAAAGAACCTATGATCCTGGGGCCATTCAGAGCTGGCAAGGATCTAGGGGTGATTCAACAGTAGCGGTACAGAGTTCTAGATTCTGTCTTGCAGGTCAAGAGACAATTCCCCAGTAGCGATGGGGTCCCCAGAGGCGCCCCGCTTTTGTTGGGGTTCTCCCTGCAAGGGTAAGAAAAACAGTGTCCCCAGCCTTGGTGGAGGACAGACACAAGCTGAAACCACACTCACCAGACCTCCGTTCTCCCACGTGAAGAGTAACTCAAACAATGTAAAAAGTTTAAAGGTGATTTAGAAGATAGTTGAAGAATAATTCATACTCATTTCAGGAAAATCGAACATAGGTGGAAAATAAGAGTTGATTTTAAATCTTACACCCCATGGGGTATCTACACACAAGTTTTCTTCTATCTACATTACGTACGTCTGTGTGTGCAAGGTTAGGCTGCGTTAGAGATGGTATTTTGAGTTCTGTTTGCCTCGCCACGATAGCAGGTGTAACTAATTAAACAGAACATTTGCAGTGGACGCAGCGTGGCGGCGGGACCTGCGCTCAGGTGGGGCCTGCAGGATGGCGGCGTGTGGCGAAGGCCTTCACCAGGGATGGATGGAACTCTGAGGAGCCTGGAACTCTCCCCAGGTCCCACTGAGCCCCCCAGCCTAGGATTCGCGTCTCCCCGTTCCCGGTGAGTGGTCTTTCTGCAAGACAGCCAACAACCCCAGTGGCTGCTGGGTTTAAGCCGGGATGGGAGCTGGGGGAGTGCCCGGGACCCCCTCCGCATTGTCCACTAAGCTCTCACCCAGCCAGGTGGGGGGCAGCGCGGTGAACCTTGGGCTGGCTTGGACGGGCAGTGATTTTTGGGGGTCGGCTGATGTGTCACTGTCTCTTTGTGGTGCTGTTCATTCCTTGGGGTTTCTCCTTCAAGCTTGAGACCTTTTCTCCCCCCTTACCCTCCCCAGGCCTCTGTGTGAGGTGCCTGCGGCTCCAGCCCAGCCCCTCCCTTGGCTCTCCCCGCCCTGAAGTGCTGGGCCTCGTCCCAGGTGCCCACCCTTTCCTGGGTGTCTTCCCGACCCTTCCAAACCTCGCCCTCGCCACCTCCGTGCCCTTCCACTATTTATTTAATGGCCCCAGTGGCCTGTGACATGACAATGAACTCCAAGGTCCTGAGGCTGATTTTGAGGCGCACCAGAGCGGTGAGGCGCCTTCACCCCTGGAGAGCTGGACATGGGCGGGGCCGGACAGAGAGGCAGACACGTGGCGCAGCCGTGGCCTCCAGGACCTCCAGGCAGCAAGGGCTGAGCTGTGGTCTCTGGGCGCTCCGGCCTTGGTGCAGCTTGGGGGCCACTGGGCAGTGGTCGGGGGTTGTGTGGCTGTGTCCATTCCTCTTCATGATTTTGGGTGACGCCCTCTGTGAGCATTAGGAGTTTAACAATCGCAGTGCTCGGCTGGGTCCTGGACGCACAGAGGCTCCCGCGCTTCTGACCGGGTGATGGCCCTCTAAACCATTGCAAGTGGAATCTATCCTACGTCAAACATACATTTACTGGCGGGGCGCCGTGGCTCACATCTGTAATCCTAGCACTTTGGGAGGCCAGGTGGGCAGATAGCTTGAGCTCAGGAGTTCGAGACCAGCCTGGCCAATACGGCGAAACCCCGTTTCTCATAAAAATACAAAAATTAGCTGGGCATGGTGGTGGCGCATGCCTGTAATCCCAGCTACTCGGGAGGCTGAGGCACGAGCATCTCTTGAACTTGGGAGGCAGAGGTTGCCGTGAGCCGAGATTGCGCCATTGCGCTCCAGCCTGGACGACAGAGTGAGACTGTATTAAAAAAAAAAGTGCATTTAGTTTGCTGGCCAGCTCAGCCCAGCTGACCTCAGCTGTGCTCAGGACCCTCCCATTAGCCTATAGGTGGGCAAAATCAGCGCACACAAAGCCTGCTTTTTTTTTTTTTTTTGGTTTTTGAGACAGACTCTCAATCTGCCACCCAGGCTGGAGTGCAATGGTATGATTATAGCTCACTGCAGCTTCAGACTCCTGGGCTTACATAATCCTCCTGCCTCAGCCTCCAAGAAGCTGGGACTACAGGTGTGTGCCGCCATGCCTGGCTAATTAAAAATTTTTTTTTTTTTTTTTTTTTTTTTTTTTTAAGAAATGGGGTCTCGCTATGTTGCCCGGGCCGGTCTTGAACTCCTGGGCTCAAGCCACCCTCTTGCTTTGATCTCCTAAAGTGCTGGGATCACAGGGGTGAACCGCTGTGCCCTGCTCACAAAGCTATTTTATAATAAAGTGTTGAGAATCTTGTGCGATTTGTGGCACACTGTCCTGCAAGGGAGTGGTTGCGCAGGGCGCCGTTTCCGCTGACTTCTGGTCGAATTCTCGCCATCGTGAAGTCGGAGCCTGTCGGTGGAGCCGTCCTAAGGCAGGGCCATCTGTGTAGGAATCTGCTGTTTGCAGACTTCTGTCGGTGACCACCAGGCCTTCACTCTTAGAACCTTGGAGGAACCCTGTGGGGAGCCCGCCATGTGGAGGAGGATGCTTTGCTGGACTGTGGTTGGGAACCTGGGGAGGATGAGCCCAGCAGGTAGAGGGTCTGAGCTGCTTTTCTGAGTGGGCTACCCCTGCCGAAGGCCTCCCTCCTGTACCTGTGAGCTGGGGATGATCATTAGCGTCCCCTCCCCTGGCATGTGGGGCTGTGCCTGGCATGATGAGGAGCCTTCCCGAGTTTCCACGGAGGACACACCACCCGGGAAAGCACTTGGATAGCCTCGGGGAAGATGAGGGTGGGCCCAGGAGATGCCAAGGGCAGGCCCTTGGGCGGGTTTTTCAACAGTGTCTCTGCCTGCCACCCCTGTGCCCCTGCTGCTGCTGTGCCCCTGCCACCTCTGCCTGTCATCACAGCGTCTCAGAGAGGAGAGCCACATGGCTCAGCATGGCCAGGGGCAGGCTAGGCTGTCCTGCTGCAGAGGACACATGCGGGCCCAGTGTCCCCTCCCCTCCCCTCCCCACCACAGGGGCCCCGTGGCCTGCACTGTCTGTCTGCCCAAGAAGCTTCCCTCTGAGGCGCCTTGTGTCCATCCTGCTCACCCAAGGCCAGGAGCCCCTGGGAGACTGTGGTAAGAAGGAGGGAGAGGCATACACTATTTCCCCCTCCCCTGCCCAGGGCCCTGGCATCAGTGTGCCCTGTATTCAGCAGCCTTTTCCCCAGGCAGCGGGGCCTGGGTGGGTGCCTCCCCTACCGCCTCCCTGGAGTCGGCCCCAGCGTGCCCCATGGTTCCACGCCCGCTCAGAGCTGCTCAGCCCCCGGGAGAGGCGGCCGGGTCCTGAGTTTCGTGAGGGGGATCAGCGCCTGCTCCAGAAAAACACCTTTGCTGGACTTGGCATTGGGGAATGGCAAGGGAGCCTCGGAGAATCTCTCCTCCCTCTGCCCTGCAGCCCCCAGGGTACCTATGTCACTTAGTTCCTGACTGCCTGCTTTGGGCTGGGGTCCCAGGACCCCAGACTTCTGCTGAACCGGGCTCTCCGGGGGGATCCCCTGCTTGTTGCCACTGCCTTGTGAGTCCCAGTGTCACAGACAGCCCTGGCTGCATAGGGAGCCCTCGCTCCATGGAGCTGAGCTGTGGGTTTCCTTTCCCGTGGGGACCTGCAGAGAGGCTGCCTTGTCACTGTCCCCTCACTGCTGGGGTATAAATCCTCTTTGTCTCTATCTTCTTGGCTCTCAGCCACTGGCCGTGGACTCTGGGGACACTCAGGACTCAGGCCTGGAATTTTCCACAAGGTTTTTCTTAGGTACGTTGGTGTAAACAGGGTCCCGTCTTGTCCCAGAGGCTGAGCTCCGGTGGGCAGGGGGAGAGTGGGTGTGGCTGTCTGGGGGCTGGGCTCGGGACAGGGTCCAGGGTTTCCTGGGGAAACTGTGAAGAGTGCCTGCCCCTCCCCTGGCTCCAGCCAGTGTCTGGTCACCCTGGTGGGCAGGGAGGGGTGGCTGCAGGGTGCAGGAAGGTGGTGGCTGGGTGGGAGTGGCAGGTGCTGACTTGGCCCAAAGGCCAGAGGGGCGGTGGGTCCCCTGGATGCCGTGTGGCTAAGGGCATCTCCGTTCCCAGGGCCTGTTATCACAGAATCTTTCCCGAGAGCCCGAGAAGGGCCTGCTATCTCCAGAAATGTCTATTGTGCAGGCACCTGGATGTCTACTTCGTCCTGATACGGAGGAGAGGGCGCGCCCTGGGAGATAACGTGGCCACCTTTGGCCACATTGGTGGATAAGAGACGGCCAGGGGGTCACTGCAGGGCCTGCTCCCCCTTCGCTCCCATCAGGGGACTGGAGCTCATGTGTGGGGGTGGGAAAGGGTGTCCCTCTGCTGCAGACCTTGGGTAGGAGAGGGGCCCGGGGCTCTTTCCTACCTGAGTCGGCCCCGGGGCCGTCGGTGTTGGTCTCATCATCACCAACTGCAGTGTCTGGACGGCAACAGGCTCTGCTGAGCAGGTGCCTCATGACACCTGGTTAGGGGTGAGGCTGAGCCTGGGCAAGCCAGGACCTGCCGAAAGGTCAGGGCGAAGATCATAGACCCCCTCCAGCAGCCCCGGGGCCCCATGAAGGAGCATCCGGGCCGCCCCAGTGTGAGCCCGGAGTTGTGTCCACGGCAGCCTGGCCTCCTTCAAAGTGCCTCGGGGATGATCACGCCTGAATCTGTGCAGGTCTCGGGAGCCTTCTCCAGCTCAGCCTCTGCTGCCTCACGGGACACGTCACTTCCTGGGCATTGATTCAGCACCTCCTGTGTGAAGGGGAACCAGAGAGGCCAGTCCTTGCTCCCGAGGCCTCAAGGGTCTGGATGTGGGGGTAAACCCATGCCCCACAACGCGCCCAGACTGTGAACGCAGGGCAGGGCTGAGGCTCACTCCAGGGCTTGGGGCACAGGGCCCAGAGCCCATGTGGATGAAGAAGCGCTGTCCTTTTCTTGGGCTGGAGGGACAGGGGGCCTTTGGTGGCCGGTGAAAGCGTTTTGCCAGCCAAGAATGTTCTTTTTGCTGGCCGCACCTAATCTGGTTTCTGGGGAAGGTAGGAGGAGGCTGCATCATCAGGTGTCTGACACCGTGGGCTAAGTGCTGGCTCGGGGAATGCAGCTCAGGACCCGGGGCCGGAGGAGCCGCCCAAGGCTGTGGCTCTGTCTCTTTTCGGACTTGAGGGACTCTGACCATGGTTGTGGACTCTCCCTAGAAAATCTGCACACATAGCGATTTGCCGACCCGTCCTGGGAGTTCAAGGGAGGCCGGGGGAGCAGAGAGACAGGGCTGGGGCCAGAGGAGAGAGGAGAGGGGAGAGCCGGGGGTCCTGTCCCCAGAGGCTGCCATGCAGGGGCTGGCTGCATTCCGAGGCTGGAGGAACAGCTCTGCCTTGCAGGGAATTGGCACAGCCAGCCTGTCTGGCCGCTTCACTGGGGGTTGGCCCCTATGCCCTTGAGGATGGCGATTGGGGAGGGAGGGCGGTGATGAGGGAGGAGGGTCCTGATGTACCACCTGCCCCCAGATGGCCACGGTGACCCTCCCCAGCGTCCTTGAGCTTCGCCGGCACCTAACGGAGCCCTGGAGGGCACATCCATTTGCTGTTTCTGCTGTCACACGTGACCACAAACCTAGTGGCTTAAAACAATGCAAATTTATTTATTTATTTTCTCTTTTTCCCCCGCACGTCAGGCGGGTCATGAGCCACTGTTCTAAAGACGTTTCATGTCTCACACAAAAGCGTGAAAACCCCCTCATTGTGTACATGAACACAAAAGAATCAAAACCATGCCCGCTTACTAGTTTAGATTCTGGGGGTCAGAAGTCCCGTGGGGCCCCACTAGGCTAAAGCTGTGGAGTCAGCAGGGCTGCTCCTTCTGGAGGCTGGGGGCGGGTCCGTCTCCTGGCTTTTCCCGGCTTCTGAAGGCCAGGGCGTTCTGGCCGCAGTCCCAGGCTGGGGCGCCCTCACAGCCTCTGCTTTCTGACCCCGCTTCCCTCTCACAGGGGCCTGCGATGACCTTGGGCTCAGCTGCATGACCCTGGGTAGTCTCCCATCGCAGGGCCCTGTGTCACCTGGCAGTGTCCCTCTTGCCATGAGAAGTAGCCCATTCACAGCCCAGGGATTAGGACGCAGGCCCCCTGGGGGGACCACGCTGCCCAGTGCAGAGGGTGTCCAGGAGGGACCAGCCCTCAGCAGGGCTCCCAAGTGGAGCTCATCCCCAGCACAAAGTCCACAAGGGGTGGCGTGAGGTGTCCAGGGTGCTGGAGCTCAGTGGGGCTGGTCAGGACTTGCTCAGGCACCCGGCTCCAATGCGGGGAACTCATGGCTGTGGGCAGGAGTCACAGGGAGAAGTGAGGACCCCATAGACTTTCCTTCCCCAAACTCAGATTCCCTGGAACAGAGAGGTGAGGCTCAGGGGTGAAGGATGAGCGACTTCTGCGATAAGATTTCCGTGACGCCCGTTCATGTCTGTAATTGTTTATTTTTTGAGACCAAGTCTTGCTCTGTCACCCATGCTGGAGTGCAGTGGCTCGATCACAGCTCATTGCAGCCTCAACCTCCCAGGCTCAAGCAATCCTCTCTCCCAGGCCTC